TCATTTTGATTCATGGAAAGGGGGTTGTTTATTTTTTTTCAATCAAGAATTAACCTAGTTCTCACTTTTCTTGGGTTGTTTTGGTGGTCACATTGATATGCTAATACTCTTCCACAAACTTGTCTGTATAATATGTGGCCAATTTACTCCCAGAGCTTTCAATGCAGCATGCCCTATACTTTAAGATATAGGACGTTCTGCATTTCTAAGAAGCAAGTATGCCATTGAATTTGCTGTAAACGAATTACATACGTGTTGATGCTATTTCATCTTGTGTCAGGGCTTCCAACTGGTAGGAAATACAAGGAATGGGAACCACAGTCTGCAATCCCAGAACTGCGGGTGCCGGAGCAGGAAGGCTGCAGGGTCCAGCCCATTTAGAGCTACTTAGGGGGTTCAGGAGCCTGAGCTACATAACTAAGCCCTGTCAGAAATGAGCTAAAAAGCAAAAGCTTTTTACACTTCTTAACTATACTTTAGTTGTATGGTTTAATGAAAGTAAGGCACTCCTAAAGAGTAAGTTGATGGCTTTAAGAAAGATTACATTAGACTTAGAGTGGGGGAAGGTGACACTTACGAGTGCTTACACTTTACAAAAAGAATGTAAGTATATCTATAATTAAATGTTCATCTAACTTCATCTTAAGAAGAGCATTAATATTGCGCTATAGTATTGTATAAGATAATAGCCCCTATCATGTGGGATTCATTCTGCTTTGTTAAGATTGTTCTTAGGATGTCCTCCTGCAGTTTACTGAAAACAGGCCCTTAGAGAGCCCAAGAAGCCTTGTGAAGAGCGGTGAGGTTCTCAGTGAACCATTGCTTGACATAGGTACAGTCATGTCAAGGGCTCCAGCGTCCCAGACCTTTGGGGCTGGCAAAGACTTCTGGTCTGCGTGTAAATGTTGACTAGTGTGTGCAGAGATAGTACCTGCGGTTCCCTCCTGGATGGTGCAGTGTGCAGAGATGGTACCTGTGGTTCCCTCCTGGATGATGCAGTGTGCAGAGATAGTACCTAAGGTTCCCTCCTGGATGGTGCAGCCTGAAACCGCCCCATACTGAGATATCCCAGGAAGGAAGAGGCTGGCCAGCCGCTCCCTGTGCTGCTTATAAATAAATGTGGAGTTGTGACGTGGTGGGTGCTATTCCATCAGCTTGACACAGCCCACCCAACCCCGGCTTTCCCATGTCATGTCTCTGTCTCTTCTTTCTGCCTGTTACATTGCCCCCATCAGGTCTCCAGGATCAAGCTGTGCAGGATGTGCCAAAGTCCTGAAGGAGTTCACAGCCTAGAACTGAACTGTTATTTCTAGCTCCCCTCATGTATGTGTGTATGTGTGTGTGTATGGTGTATGTGTACATTCTACTGAATTTTCTATGTTGTGTGCAGATGTGTTTGTGTATACATGCGTATTTTAGAAAGAAAACTCAGAATCATGAGATGAAGCTGGTGAGGTGACCAACCTGCCAGGAAGAGTGTATAGGGCATGATTATTGTCATACTTCTACTCCTATGTTGGGTTGGGTACTTACATGTGTTTGTGAACACGCTTACCCTGTCACAAATCCTCCCCACCCCAAAAGAACAACCACCCCCAATAATATCTTTAAAATATGGATAGGATGTTTTTTGGTCTTTGTTCATAACTGGCTCATAATAATGTCTGTGAATACATACGTGCATGCATCCCGTATGTGCAGCACTGAGTTTTGACATGTCCCCATTCCTTCCTCTTACTGACAGCTCGTGGTAGCTCAGAAAGTGCGTGTTTCTCAGCTGCTGTTCATGGTATGCGTCTGTTAGTCTAGTCCACTGCGGCCAGATTGTGTCAGAGACCGACGTCTCACAGCCTGGTCAATCTTGGGGGAGAGTGCTGGGTTGATGAGTAATTACATAAAACCGTGCTACAGTAAGGAGATTTTTAGTCATCCTCCCACCTGGTCCTCCCCGTCTTCTCCTCTCACAGAGCTGTGTTGTCAGGACATTCACATCCACAGTCGAGTGTGCTCCAGCCGTCACGGTTCCGTGGTGCCCCCCGCCCCACGCACATTCCGGGAACCATCAGTAGAGACGTCTCTGTGTCAGATGTTTTGAAGTTTGCTTTAGTATCTCATTTCTGCGTTGGTATGAATCCCTGCTGGGCGGTGGATACCTGAGCTGCTCTTTTCACTGACGGGGTTTTGTTCTTGTGACTATTTCTAGGTCACAGAAACTGCAGGGTTCCCATCTGCTGGTGCTCCCCCTTGTCACAGCTTCTGACACAGTCCGCTGTCCCAGTGCCAGCACCCTTGTTACGGCCCATGAACCATCCCCCTGCTACACAAAGTGCACAGTTCCCCTCAGAGTTTACTCTCGAAAGCACATACTGCAGAGTGTCCATCCAGCCCTGCCCAGCCCTGAGACGCCTATTCTAGTCTTCTGATCGGACACACCTCCTCGCCACTGCTGTGTATTTTTCATAAAGCCCTTGGTTTAAACACTCAGGGTTTGTTTATCTGTTCTACACCCTCGGCATTTTGGATACTTGTAAATTTTAGCGATTGTGTATAGCACTGCACACACCTGTGTCCAGATCTTTGTGTGGACTTGAGTTTTCATCTCCCTAAGGTCAGCCCCAAGAAGCTTGATTGGCAGGCTTATGAGGGGGCCTTGTTTAGCTTTGGAAGGTGTGCCACACACTGCCACAGTGCTTGCACTGTTTTGCACACTTGTCTGCTTTTAGAGCCTCCATTTCTCTACTGACTTAAAAAGTCTTGTTCTAGCTGACTTAGGGATATTGCTATGTAAGTGGGGGTTTGTAAGATGAGCGTGAGAAATGAGGCCCAGTTGCCAATTGGTTTCTGATGACGCCTTCTGGAGTTAGAATCAAGCTCTTCATGCCCCTCAAGGACAGCTCCAGCTGAATGCTGCCAAGTTCCCTGTGGAGTAAAACCTTGACAGGGGGGTCCGTCCCACCCACCTCCCCCACTGCCGTAGGGGAGGGGAATGTCTTTCAAAGTGCATGTTACAATTTAATTCTTAGCAAGGCAGTGCTGAGAACAGGGCCTGGGGCAGCCGGCTGGGCTTTCGTGCCTCAGTTCAGCCCTTAGACAGTGAGAACACAGGCTTGAAAGCATCACTGTGAGACCAGGATGGCTGCTCCCTCTACAGACTACAGAGTATGACCTATGAACCTTCATGATCTGGGGTGTTTGTCACAATCACAAACAGGATACTGCTAAGACGTAAGATACTTGCTGTTGGGCTTGGTGCATAGAGGAGTCGTTTCTCAAGCCCCTGGTCACTGCCGTGAGAGTTTAGGTGACTGGATAAGGGGTGACGTGAGTTTTCAAGAGCTGTTTCACTTAGAAGTTGTTGAGACAGAAAATGCTTAAACTCTGAAGTGTGTCAAATCCTTTGATTTTAATGAAGCACCTGTCTTGGGATGGAAGCCTGCTGCAGAAATGCCATCTGGTCTCTACACTGATGGTCTCCGGGTGCACACTTTATTTCTTCACTCTGGAAAGTCGAAAAGCCTGTTTAAATCGGAGCCATGTGTTCCCTGATGCGCTCCTGCGCCTGCTGTGAACATGACTGTTGGTGGAAGTAAATCTGCTAGTGGAGGCATAGTATTATTCAGGATAGAAACACGATGTCCGTGGCTTTGTGAAAACCTCTAGACGAAACCTCAGTGATCTTCTCTAAGGCTTTCCCAGCACTTAAAATGTTGGCCCATAAATGACTGTATCTCATATTCTAGTGAGATGCTTATTAAGTTACCATGTGCTTCTGTTCATATCAACAGAAACATGCTTGTGAGCACACACTTAGTGTGTGCAGGATCAGAGACGGTTGTACAGTATATGTACCACCCCACCCCAGACACGGAGGAACAGTAGGAGGTTGCAGGTGTGTGAAGATAACTGTAGGCCACTGCAGTATACAAGGGCATCCCGTGTGCCTGAAATGTCTTGGGATCGGCATTCACATTCCAGGGAAGAAGAGGGTGTTCGTTGGTTCATTTGCTTTCCACATATTCAGGATTGGGTGAAAACCACAGGACCTCTGTATCTCCAGGGGTCCTTTTCCCTTGGGATGAGTTTTCAGGGAGGGGAGGCATTCTGTTCCAGGTGTGTTTCGTGTTGGTTATCTTTCAAAAGATTGCTTTTGACACCCTTGCACCCAGCTTCTACTCTGTAAGTTAGAACTTATTTCTCAAATTGCATAATTTTATAGCTCTTTTATTTTTATATTTTCATGTAAAATACATATAAATTTTTTATTAAACTTGCATTGCAGTTTTAAAAAGCTATATAGTATCTTAAATAAGCAAAATGTAACAAACCCCTCTTGGATGGGATTTGCTGGGATAGTTTCAGTTAATTTTCATAACGTCTTTTATAGGGCTGTAAAGCCAAGTCTTGTTAACCAGAGCAATTGTGGAAAGTCATTCACATCACCCATTCCAGTGAGAAGCAATAGAGTCAGTCCTTAACCACGCTGCTGGGTCTGTGGCGTTGCCTGCACAGCCCCTGGCCTGCACTGCAGACAGACATCCTAGGACACTGCTGTATTTCAAAGCTCTACTGATAACTGAGTTCAGCCTAGTTTTGAACATTATCTTGAGCCAGGTTGTAGAAATTTATAAGAGAAACAAAGATGTGTTTTTAAGACCCTTTGTGACTGCTTTATCCACAGTAGAATGGGTAAACCCACTGTGTATTTATACGAAAGAATTCTACTTAGCCATGAAAATGAATCAGTAGTTAGTGAGGTAGTACCCAGTGTTTTAAAGAGGGCTTTCTCCAAGTGGGCAGCATTTCATGTTCCAATTGATTGGTCAGTGTGACATCATTTGTAAGCCAGAGCTTGAGCCATGTGCCTCGCTGAGCTTGAGAGTAACAGGATCTCTAGGATGAATGGAGGCTTGCCAGCTCTGGTTACCTGGGTACAGACGGTCTCTGTTCCTCCTGGGTGATGGTCAGAGCCATAACAATACCTCAGGTGGTTTTCCTTGTAGCATCAGAGGCTCCTGGAAGTTCTGGACACTGAGAAGGAGCTGTTAAGGGAAAAAATCCAGGAAGCGTTGGCCCAGCAGTCGCAGGAGCAGAAGGTAAGGCCTGTGGGGGGCCCACAACCACGTCAGGATCTCCCCTGGTGACCTTGGGTGCCCACAGTCACAGCGGGAGAGGCGCGGTGGCCTGGGGTGCCCACAGTCATGGTGGGAGAGGCGAGGTGGCCTTGGGTAACCACAGCCAGGGCGGGAGAGGCGTGGTGGCCTTGGGTGCCCACAGCCATGGCGGGAGAGGCACAGTGGCCTTTGGTACCCACAGTCACAGCGGGAGAGGCGTGGTGGCCTTGGGTGCCCACGGTCATGGTGGGAGAGGTGTGGTTCTGCTGCCTTCATTCGCTGGCATCCTCCCTACTGTCCTCTGCTCTGTAGGAAACGCTGGGAAAGTGCCTGCAGGAGGAAATGCAGAGAAACAAAGAGACGCTGGAGTCAGCTGTGAAGGTAGGTGCTGTGCATAGGCTGGCATTCCTCCCATTGACAGAGGAACACGGTATAGACAATGCTCCATTCCAGAAGAATGCCGCTTTCTCTTCACTGTTCTTTGACTTTCTACATGACCCTTCATATTCCTGTTAATTCATATTCTATAACATGATGGCATTGAAAGACTTTGCAACGTAGATTATTAGTTACTTATTTTAAAATAGTTTTGTTAGGACAGCAATATTTGCCTCCAGTACTGGATGGATGGATGAGGGAGGGAGAAACAGATATGCCTGTGATTTAGAAGTAGGTTTGGTAGCCATAGCAATAAATGTAATCTCAATTTGTTGAGGGTGGTGATCCTAAAACAATTATGACTTTTGTCTTTTCTTTATGGGACCTACAGTTGGATAAAAAAGTCTGATATATACCAACAAGGAAATGAGTAGTTAAATTATTATGACTATAAAAGTTCTATGTCCACATTAAAATGCTTTTAAGTAAGTCACCTTTGAAGTGAGCCTTCAGAAGTGGCTAGTCTTCTGAACTGAGTTGGAATCGAGTCCGTGGCTTAGGAGGATGTATGGCGCTGTGTGGCTTAGGAGGATGTGTGGCGCTGTGTGGCTTAGGAAGGTGTGTGGGGCTGTGTGGCTTAGGAAGGGGTGTGGGGCTGTGTGGCTTAGGAAGGTGTGTGGGGCTGTGTGGCTTAGGCGCACCATGCTGGAAATGAGCATGGGCTTCTGGGAAATGGAGGCTGGACCCAGGAGAGCACTGGTAGAGGGACAAAAAATAGCCTGAGAGCCAAGCGGACAAGTGTGGAAGTGGCTATGGGGTGAATTCAGCACGGCTACTAGAGGCGGCTGAGGAGAGCGGATCCAGGAAGAACGAAAGGTCAAGCTGTTTGCTTGAGTGGAGCCTGACAAAGGTAATAGTCTGGAGGACCCATTTGCTTTCCAGGACTTAGGGACGTTGGCGGTGAGAGTGGTGGCTGGGTGGACCTGATGCTAACCTGCCCGGAAACAAGCAAGTGTGCAGACTTCCGGAGAAGCAACGTAGTGAATCAGTGTTTGCCAAGATACCAACAGTTTAGAAACCATGTTCAATTACAGGAGTCTTGGGGAGTACTGGAAAGGGTTGTGTTGTAACAGACCATGAAAGACGTACTTCAGTTTACTGTATTTTCCTTATTGTAAATAACTTTTTAAATGTGCACTGGTGTTTTGCCTCCCCTGTATGTCTGTGTGAGGATGCTGAGCCCCGGGAACTGGAGTTGTGGACAGTTGGGAGCTACCGTGTGGGAACTGAACCTGGGTCCTAGAAGAGCAGCCAGTGCTCTAAATCACCGAGCCATCTATCCAGCTCCCATAATGATCTTCTAAGCCTCCCTTTGGATGCCTGTTGCTTTAAACTAAGGCTTGATTTCTTTAAGGTAGAGAATGTCAGGGGGTGTAGGGAAAATCTGTATCAGAATGATTGAATGTGCTGTGCCTTTGCTTAATGTACATCAGAACAGTGATGCTGGGACTGACTGTGTGCGTTCAGTGTTGGTGTACATCAGAACAGTGATGCTGGGACTGACTGTGTGCGTTCAGTGTCGTGTCTGGAGCTTGAACTCATTAACAGGTCTGTTTTGACCCGCCCCTTCTTCCCTCCCTCCCTCCCTCCCTCCCTCCCTCCCTCCTTCTCCTCCCTCCCTCCCTCCCTCCCTCCTTCTCTCCTTCCCTCCCTCCCTTTCTTAAGCTTGAGAAAGAAGTGATGAAAGATGTCATCACCAAAGCAGTGGAAGAGGAAAGGAAAAATCTGGAAAAAGTTCATGCTGAAGAGCGGGAAATGTGGAAAACAGAACATGCAAGAGATCAAGAAAAGGTAGCAGAGGCCATCCAGGCCGCCGTGCAAGAGCAGCGGACGCTGAGTCAGGTAAGTCACCCAGCAGTGGAGCTTCTGAGGGTCCCCGTCCAGGGGAGGGTCCACAAGGTATTGTATGTTTATCACACTTTTCTGTTTTGACCTTTTTTTTTTTTTTTTTTTAATAATCCATGCTTTTTTACCTTCCTGGGATTAAAAAAATCCTACAATATATTTTATGGTTTGCTTAAGTTCAGAACCTGTGTTTTTATTTTATTGTTGTAACTGTATTAGGCACCTCACGTTCATTCATTCTCTCATTCTCTCTTTCCTCTCCCACCCTTCGTGTGCATGCATGCAGGAAATGATGTCGTTTGATTCCAATAAATTAGTCTGACTTAGATGCCTCTGTGCCTTTAGTTGGCAGCAGTAACTGACACACCTCACAGGTATCCCATGGTCCCTTGAGAGGAGATGTGCAGTGACCCGGGCATGTTCTCCACACAGAGTAGCTTTTGCCCACTGACCCTCCCAGGCTTCATTTCCACAGTTGAACCTGCATCTTCTGTTTTACAGTGGTGAGGCTCTGTGTGGGCAGAGGTACTTAATAAAAGACATATGCATAGAAGGTCTAAAAAGACAAAGGCAGCCTTCATGGAAACCTATTTTCTCTGCTGTTTGTCTGGCTTATATATGGTCTAGCACAATATGTCATAGTCTTTGAAATTTGTCTCCTAAACATCTGGGCATGGTGGTGCCCACCTGTAATCGTAGCTAGGGAAATAGAAGCAGGAAGATCAGCGGTTGATCTCAGCAGTGGAGCAAATTCAAGGCCAGTCTGGACCACATGGGACCTTGTACCAAACCAAGCAAAGCACTGACAGCACAAAAATGTCTCCCGTGCACGTTGAGAATGTCAGGAAGGATCTTAGAAATGCAAGGTTTTGCTACAATCTGTGCGTGTGAACGTCTTTGGTTACACACAGCAGGGAACACTGGGCAGAAGTGGCTGCAGCAGGAGCTGTGTGAGTGACCTGACCTATCAGGTACAGTCAGAGTATTGTAGACAGCTCTAGCCCAAGGCTGACCTCGGTGTAGTCATACAGCTGACGTTCCATTACTTAAATCCAGTGCTCCTCCTCAAGGAAGATGGCTTTTGTGAAAAGCTCTGTGAAGCTCACATCTCTCCTGATTATTTAGAATAATTAAATAAGTAGCTACAACCAAACTTACTCTTTACTGTTGTCTTAATAAATAAAGTAACTTTCTGTTCGTTTCCAGTGTCGTTTCATTTTTTTAGCTACGGTAGTAGAAAAATAGTAACCCAGCCTTTTTAAAGGAGATGGATGGGAAACTGACAGAGGTGTCATGTCGAGTGTTTGGTGGTCATGTCAGCTGTTTGTGGTCATTTCACGTGTTTGGTGGTCAGGTCAAGTGTTGATGGTCATGTTAAGTATTTGGTGGTCATATCAAGTGTTGATGATCAGTTGGCATGAGGAAAATAAGTCTGCAGAGATGCGAGACACTTGCTGTGCACAGGAAAGTGCTCCAGAGGAGAGAAGATACATACCTGGTTTGTCTGAAGCAGAGCTGTTGTTTAAGACAGACAGACTGGGAAGACATCAGAGTAGGCACTAATCCAGAAATACCCGGTCCCTCCTGGGATTGACAGGTACATAAAATGATCATGTAACAGATTAAATAGCCCAGGAGCCCTCTACCCACCCACACTTTGAGTCTGTATTCCCTGGAAGGGGGTCTAGGTAGTCTGAGAATTTATTAAAGTTACACAAAACTGTGCATATGAGCAGATTTTTCTGCAAAGATAATTTATACTTTTATTAAATTCTCAAAAGAATTTTAATTAGGAAAGCTTTTTAAAATATTGCAGTTGGCTTCCCATTGCCTTCTGAACTTCATGTAAAATATATTCCAAATTGACCAAATACCTAAATTATAAATTTTATGGAATTAGACAAATATTAACATTCTTTATAAGGATGGCTAAGCAGGCTATTAGGGTGATGGATTAAGTACCACCAAAATCAGCGTCATAAAAGTAGGAAAATGTTAGCAAAAATTATCAAAGTCAGGTTTTTTCCACGTTCTTGTACCCATCCAAATGTTTATTCAAGAAAAATAATGGTTAAATATGACTAAGCTATCTTCCTGAGGTTCTAACCAGCATCCCTACCGTTTTCATCTCCTCAGTGTAGATTTGGACCAGGCATTAACTATGACAGCCCAGCCTGCAGGCCCACAGAAGCCACACACCTGAAGGATCGTTACTGTGGCCAGCTCTGCAACTTCCTGGAAAGCCTGCTCTCTGTTTTTAGTGTTCCATGTAGCACTTCTATTGTTTCAACACAATATTTTTATTTATTCTTTGAGAATTTCATTCTGATCATATACCCACTCTCCTCTCTAACTCCTGCCAGATCCACCCTGCCTACCCCTTGGAAGAGCCCTGTGTCTAGGATGTTAGTCAGTGACAGAATGGTGACGGTCATCCTCTCAGCTACAGAAATGCCTGATGGGGCCAAATAGGGGCTGGAAAAAGGGGGAAAACTCATTTTCCATAAATGCCTTTGAAAAGCTCAGGCTTCTGGAAGGTCGCTCACACCCCGAGAAGGGCCAGTGTAGCTGCTGACCGCTGTCTAAGATTCAGAAAGCGGAGAGTAAAGACGAAGATGCAGAGTTGTAGTTACCATGTCCAGGTTCCCACAGCAAGGGAACCTTCTGGAAAAGGGTGGGAAATGTAGTGATTCAAAACAGTAAGGAATCTGCCTCTCCCCTTGGCAGATTAATCATCTGAGGCCCTAGTGAGAAACTACTTAAGTAACTGCAGCCTATGCGGGAGACTACAGGCTTTGCAGAATTAGGCCTGGAAGGTTACTGCATGGGAGAACACCAAACAAGCAAACTGTATTTTAGCAGTCAGATGGCGGTAATAAATGTAGAGGAACAGAAGAGACCTGTTTCTGGGTCGCTGCGTTTTATTTTAAATGTGCATTGTTTAGAAACAAAAACAATATTCTAAGAAATAGGAAAATTAATCCACAGATAGACAGAAAATCAGCCAGAAATACTCAATAATGGGACAAAGTACTAAGACTTTACTCTGTGTTACACAGAATTCAGATGTTTTCTTTTGCGTTCACAAACTCTTCTGCATCACGAGTGCCTGGGCTCCTCAAGAACCACATCTCCTTTGAAGGCTGCTCATGAGCTTCCGGGATGGTGCCTCTGTTCACCTGCCCCATGTGACTCTTCCTGCCCTCCCGACTCTGTCACCCAGGTCACGATCACGTGTCCCCCACAGTTACTTCCTCCCGCAGCCTGTGTTTGATTCATGTGTTTGCATAATTGACTGACCTGACTTATTTGAGAGCTTTGTCTATGACTTCTGCCCACCCCCATTTCTCCTAGGAGGGCCAAGCAGTGCCTAGCTCACCAGATATGTTCCAGAAAGCATCACAACCTGAGAGAAGGCAGGAGTCCCGTACATTAGTGCACGTCTGATCTCACACATCCAGTGCAGTCGTCAATGGTACCATAGGCTTCTTTCGATGGCATCAGATGTCACATAGAGATTTCATGTGGAAATGTCACTGTCTTCTACAGCACCCAGTCATTAGCACAGAAATGCCCTTAACAGTTTCCAGTGTCACTGAGTTTCTGCTGTCCACAGCTAGTTTCAGACACAACTGTTTCATCAATTCTGCCTTAGCTCTTGCTGTTGTCTCTTATGAGTCACCAAGCTTTATATATTAGCCAACTGTATTCTCTTAGTCTTTTTATGTGAATATATAGGCCTGGGATAACCAAGTCATGTCACCGTCCGTAGAGTGCTTTTGAGGTGTCTGTGCAGAATGTCCTGTGACTGCTGAGTACACTCCCACCAGCACTGCACACACTTCCTGTCTCTCAACCCCTTACCTAAGACTGTCTTCCTACAGTGCTCATTGTGGCAGGGTGAGGTGGTAACTCATCTTTCATGGACCTGGTGTCCATTTGTATGGATCCTGAATTCTCTGTCTGATTAGTTATCCATTTCCATTCATTGGAACGAGTTTCAGATTTATTTAGTTCCTTTGTCTGGGACCTGGTTCCATGTTTATTTTTAATGATTTGAGCTTATTTATGCATTAACAATACTGGCTACCTTCCCTATTCCTCCTCGGTCATCAGCTTAACCAGAGATGAGCACAGCCTCTGAGACCCTCCTCATGACTCCTGTTGACTCTGTCTGACATGTGCCATCTCACCTCATTGCCTCTCCCTCCCCCCAGTAGAGTAGAGGCCGCCCTCCCAAATAGCCCTGCAAAGGTGAAGCTGTAATGCATCTCTTCTGCTCCCATGAAGAAACCATGAGGTTCTCTGACTGGGCAGAGATGGGACGGCTCTTGTGCTAAGGTAATGTTACCTGCCATCTTTCTTCTTACCTGCTTCTTCAGGTCTCAGGGACAGCCTTTGTCATGCCTTGTCCTCGCTGACAAGTGAGAGGGAACCCAGTGCCATGAGCACTCCCAGGAGGACTGATGAGGGGTGTGCAGCCCACCCCCTTTCTCACAGCAGAACCTTTGGGCAAAGGGGCTCACTGTGACTGTGTCCAGGCAGCCTTGTGGCTGGCTCCATGCTCTCCCGGGGAAGGAACTTGTATGTGTGGCTGGCTTCTCGTGTGCATGTGTTGCTGTTGGCTCTCTGTGTTCATGGGAAGAGATCATCAGGGCTTCCTTTCCACTCTTGCTGGCTTCATCTGATCTGATCATATCTCGATTCTTTTTTCTAGAACTCACAATATAAAGGGAAAAGTAAATTAATGAATTTAGTTGATGGAATAATTAAGAGAAATAAAATTATTATAGGTGTGAAACACCAGCTTAAAGAGACATTTAGAAATGACAGGCAGTGCCTGCCACTGGAGAGTAGATGTTCCGGAAGCTCCTGCCTGTGACCTCCTTGTATTTAGAGTTTTATGTTGTTTTAGAGACAAGGTCTCATACACAGAGCTGGAATCACACTCACCAAACAGCTGAGAATGCCCTCAACTCCTGATCCTCGCCTCCACCTCCTGAGTGCTGAGGTTCCAGGCACATCCGCCACACCTGGCCTTATCCGAGATTTCTGAATAAATTTGTGGGCATCACTTTATGAATTAGTTGCATCCCCCAGGGAAAACTAGTTGAAAAAAATCAATGAGTTATTATAAACTGCCCTGAAAATTTTCCCACGAACTAAATTAATTTTCCTAAGTGAGTTATGTGGCTAGGCCAGAAATATAATTTATAAATAGACTTCCCCTTGGTTTATTAGCGATAGGAATCTAAAGTCTTGCCCCTGCTTTCTGTTCCTACCCTGGAGCGCTGTAGCTGTGAGTCTTAGATGCATAACTAACATCATTGTCATCCTTCGGAAAGTCCCTCCGACAGGAAGTGCTACAAACCTTGACAGGACATTATTGTATCGCACAACAAGGACAGTGATGGGCTCCGTGTTCTGGGGCCATTTGAGAGCTTTGTTCTCCGGGGTTTCGTAGGCTGTTCTAGACAAAGAAGCCACTTTAAGGATGGCGGGGTGGAGATGAAAGGCTTCCTGTGGAAGTAGACTTGTTAAGAGGAACTGCTTGTGGTTGCCATGACATCCGCAGTGACCATCACAGCCCCGGCTCCCTCACCTCCAGTGAGTGGCAGGCCCTTTTCTAGTTAGTTGCTAATGTGGCCGAGTTGACTTTGACTTTACTTTACTTTACTTTACTTTACGATGTACTTACTAGTTAGCTACATCATGAGGCAGGTGCTGCTGTTACCCCCATGTGTGCTGCTTTCATAGGTTCGTGCGTGAGGCAGCTGGAGATCAGCCTGGGGTGTCCTCCATGAGGCTCACCATTCTGTTTCTTTGTCCCCCCTCCCCCCTGCAGCACACACCCCTTCAAGATAGACTCTTTCCTGTTATCTGGGCTTTCTCCTTAAGCCTAGAGAGGCTGTAAAGGGAGCCCCCGAGATGCTGCTGTCTCTGCTTCCCACATGCTGGGATTACCAGCATATGTTATGCTCAGATGTTTACCTGGGTTCTGCAGGTTGACCCTCAGTAAACCTTAGGTCCTCAGCCTTAGCAAGCATTTTACTGGCTGAGCCATCCTCTCCTGCACACCATGCCAATACCAATACCGCTATGAAGATGCAGGTTCTGTAGCTCATCACAGTGGTTGTCTGACCTTGTCAGGGCCAGGCTGTCTATCTCCAGAGGCATTGAAGGTTGCCACAGTGCCTCCACCCACCCGACATTTCCCCACCCAAGGTTCTCATCTTAGAATAAATACAGATTTGTCTTAGATAGGAATAGATAATTAGATAAGAAAACCCGTAGGTAGGCATTATTTTTCTGTTATTCATTTATTCTGACCACAGGTTGTCACTTCTGAAGAAGGTTTTGCCACACAGAGCTGACTCCTTTGAAGTATAAGGTCAATTGAGAAGGAGCCATAGTAAACAAGCTGAGTGTCTGTAGTGCGGTGGGCTGCGAGAGAGAGAGAGAGAGAGAGAGAGAGAGAGAGAGAGAGAGAGAGGAAAACACCACACCTGTGTGTTTGGCAGCTGCTGGGGGGAGTTCCTCGGATACAGGAAGGAAACTAGAGTTGGGGAATTACTCACATGACGTCCTGGGGAGAGAGAATGTGGTGGTGGGAGGTACCCAGTGGTTGCAGGGCCCTGGGAATGTCTGCTGATGACAAGTGTGATGGACTGAATTGTGGTGGTGGTTTCAGCCTATCAATCATCAGAGCCATTTCTTAGTAAATGGTGGCTTTTAGGAACAAATTCTTACTACATTAAAGTTTTGAGAAAGGGTCAATTTTTGTTGGAATTAAAAAAGTGTTTTGTATTAAATATCTAATGCCTGTTGCTAACCTGTTGATAAGCCTAGAGAAGAGATGGTGGAACTGGAGACACAAGCCTATTACATCCTGCTACAGAGATGCCCACACACCCATGCCCATTGACTGTAACGAGCCCAAGGAAGTGGCTTAGCCCTGGTGTGTGTCCTTCAGCAGATGGTGGGTAACGGAAGTGCATATAAACACAGTGGACTTTTACTCAGCTATAGGATGAAGTTTGAAGGAAAACAGATGGATCTGGGAAGTAATAAATGAGGAAACCCAAACTCAGGGAGAAAAACAGACAAGCAACCTGTCGCCTTCTCCCTCACATCTGGATCATTATGTGTGCTTGCATGTATGTGAGCAGGAGGACGTGGGGTTGAAACCTGAAGAGCAGAGTAGAAGCCACATGTGGGTGAACGATGCTGAGGGTTAGGGAAAGGGCAGAAATGACACGGCTGGGGCACGGGAAGGACACGGCGGGGGCACGGGAAGGACACGGCGGGGGCACGGGAAGGACACATAGAGGGAGAAGGGACAAGGAAACAACAAGTTCTGCTTGGGAGTGACGAGGCGGCACCTTTGAGATGTTAGTATCTTTGACTCCAGTTTACAATTTGTATGCTAATTTTAAAATTCTCGGAAAAGAAACTGGTATGAGGTTGGGCACCTTGTTAGTGTTTGGAATGGATAAGACACGGGTGTTGTTTAAAGCATGGATACTTTCTGGACAGGGCCCTGGCATTGATTTAATGGACTGTGGTCATCTCCTAACTATAAATAACAGGGTTTGCTTCCACTTGGCTGTGATAGTGGAGGTGATTCTACACACACTTAAGCTTCACAAGGGATAACGACGTCACCCACGTTTGGGTGCTCGGAGTTTCTTCTGTGCACAGCTGAGCAACAGAGGCCAGTACTGCTCCTGGCAACTCCCTTAGCAGTACCAGGCAGTGTATGGGCCCCAGAGGGTGGCCCAGATGCTGTGTAGCCCAGCCGTTTAGATAAATACAGAGACGCGAATGAGCCGTGTTAATAGACATGAACATCTTCTCTTGGCTGTTGAGTGCAGACACAAGGGTAGAACATGAGAGAATGGGCCTCGTGTGTGAAAGCTTGAGGGCCAGGGCCACCCCTGAGCAAGGGACTGCAAGGAGCCCCTGCGCTCATCCGGCATCACCTGGGGAGACGGGAGAACATGGGCGGGAGACAAGCCCACCAGTCCTTAGACCTCACCTGAGGGTGGTTTCCTTTTGGCCTTCTTCCTAAGTGAAGGCACATGTTGTTACAGAGGGTACCATTCAACAATACTAAGGGAAGCTCTGTACCTCAGGTGTATTTCACATTGAGTTAATCTGAGGTCCTTCAAAGAGGGGGAGTCCATTTGTGGCTGACTGCAGGCACAGATGGCAGGGTTCATTAGCGTGACTGTTGTGGAGAGGACTTGCAAGGGACCCCGTCTGATGCTGCAGTGTTCATCATGGCCACAGATGCTATAATCAGGGCTTAAATTTTCTTAAAGAAACTGAGCATTGCTCTCACCCTTCTTGAAGGAAGTGGCATTTCTGTCCAAGCTTTCCAGCCCGGATTCTTTCCCAACCCCAAACCTGTTCTCTACCGATATGTTGGGTTTGGATTCGTTTTGCAGTTTTTACTGAATTATTTGATAAGTACCTTATTTGTAATGGGCAGAGTTTAGTGACATTCTTAATTGTTAAGAATATAGAATCCAGAAGGAAAGATTAGCTAGGGTCCCAGCTTGCCTTCTCTGCCCCAGGTCTTTCCCCTCCTGTGTGGCTGCTACCCATTGCTTTAATGAAAAAGCCCTATTTCCTTATTCATGCAGAGGGCTAGGATTTATCCAAGAGTGTCCCTCTGTCACCCTCATTCCCATGCCTCTTAAATCTCCAGAACTTTCCCTGGAAAGTAGTCCATTGGAAATGAAGAGGCTTGGCCTAATATGAGGGTGCACACCTGTAGTCCTGTAGCGTGGAGTGTGGGTGCACACCTGTAGTCCTGTAGTGTGGAGTGTGGGTGCACACCTGCAGTCCTGTAGTGTGGAGTGTGGGTGCACACCTGCAGTCCTGTAGTGTGGAGTGTGGGTGCACACCTGCAGTCCTGTAGTGTGGAGTGTGGGTGCACACCTGTAGTCCTGTAGTGTGGAGTGTGGGTGCACACCTGTAGTCCTGTAGTGTGGAGTGTGGGTGCACACCTGTAGTCCTGTAGTGTGGAGTGTGGGTGCACACCTGCAGTCCTGTAGTGTGGAGTGTGGGTGCACACCTGCAGTCCTGTAGTGTGGAGTGTGGGTGCACACCTGCAGTCCTGTAGTGTGGAGTGTGGGTGCACACCTGTAGTCCTGTAGTGTGGAGTGTGGGTGCACACCTGTAGTCCTGTAGTGTGGAGTGTGGGTGCACACCTGTAGTCCTGTAGTGTGGAGTGTGGGTGCACACCTGCAGTCCTGTAGTGTGGAGTGTGGGTGCACACCTGCAGTCCTGTAGTGTGGAGTGTGGGTGCACACCTGTAGTCCTGTAGTGTGGAGTGTGGGTGCACACCTGTAGTCCTGTAGTGTGGAGTGTGGGTGCACACCTGTAGTCCTGTAGCGTGGTGTGTGGGTGCACACCTGCAGTCCTGTAGCATGGTGTGTGGGTGTCTATCTGTAGTCCTATAGTGTGGTGTGTGGGTGTCTATCTGTAGTCCTATAGCATGGTGTGTGGGTGCACACCTGTAGTCCTATAGTGTGGAGTGTGGGTGCACACCTGTAGTCCTATAGTGTGGAGTGTGGGTGCACACCTGTAGTCCTATAGCGTGGAGTGTGGGTGCATACCTGTAGTCCTATAGCATGGTGTGTGGGTGTCTACCTATAGTCCTATAGTGTGGTGTGTGGGTATCTACCTATAGTCCTGTAGCGTGGTATGGGGGTGATTACTTGTAGTCCTATAGCGTGATGTGTGGGTGCACATCTGTAGTTCTATAGCCTGACATAGGGGTGTCCATTGTAGTCTTATACCCTGATATGGGGTGCACACCTGTCGCAGCACATGGGAGGTAGAAGCATGCGGTCAGGAGTTGACCGGCATCCTCTACGCCAGTGATTCTCAACGTGTGGGTCACCACTGCCATCACAGGGATTGCTTATCTGATGTTTTCATTACAATTCATAACAGTAGCAAAATTACAGTTACGGAGTAGCAATGAAGATAATTTTATTATTGGGGTCACCACAACATGAGGAACTAACTGTATTTAATATTGCAGCGTTAGGAAGGTTGAGAACTCTTCTAGTACATGTCATAGTTATAAAACAAAAACAAAATAAATGGTAAATAAAAGAATAGACTATTATCTTTATATACATGTATATACCGATCCCTCTTTCTACAATTTTTTTGTGTTCTGTTGTTTGTTTTCATGTATGTTTGTTCACCACAGGCCTGCCTGTTGCCTGTGGTAGTTCAAAGAGGGTCTTGGATCCCCTGGAACTGGAGTAACATGGTTGTGAGCTTCCATGTGGGTGCTGGCCATCAAACCAGGGGATTAAGCAAGTGTTTTCCAAGACCAGCTGCTGGTGGCAATGGGGACAGTGAAGACTGTCCTCTCCGGGTTCCAGGTGGCAGCAAGAGGCCTTAGGAACCTGGCTGGAGGTCATCATGCTGTGTGTTGGCGACATTCTGCCAATGTCCTGAAATTTGGAATGAGGCCAAATTGAAAAGTAATGACTAATGGCTAGAGCTCGTTGTTCTTGGTGATGCTCGTGGGCTAGCCTTGCAGGTGATGCACCCGGACAGGAGAGCACTACAAATGCTTTCTTGGTGATGCTCGTGAGCTAGCCTTGCAGGTGATGCACCGGACAGGAGAGTGCTACGAATGCTTTCTGGAAAGAGCTGGATATTTAACACGCAGGAAGACGGCCTCCTGGCTCATGGTATGGCAGCTGAACTGGTGGAGTGGTGGACAAACAGGCATTGAAGAAAACAAACCCGGACAGACGTTGAACAGAACAGACGTGGTCAATGGAATGCAAATGAAGCCGCATGACTCTCAGAGCTACGTTTTGGCTGGGGTTGGAGTGTGGCTGTGTCGGGAATTGTTAGCAACTGTAGAAGTCGTGCACCCCACTGAGAAGAGCGTGGAGAAGATTCAGCGTCATTTTCCCCTTCTCAGAATTCCAATCCAGTGTGGGCACGTCTGAGAGACTTTTGTGCTGGTGGTCCACGGGAGACTGCAGAGAAGGAAGGTTCGGACTGTAAGAAAGGAGGGAGGTCTTTGAATCAAGAGCAGGCACCCCTCTGAAATATAGCTGTTTTCCTGAAGTGCAGAGGGGAGCGCCCTGAGCTGAGCACTCAGATCCTCACTCTTCCCATCCACCCCATCCCAGCTCTCCATGCTGAGGGCCATGGGAACTGGAGGATGCTTTTTTCTGAAGAATCTGGGGAGCCCAAGATGAAAGACCTAAGTACTTTGTTATGGGAAATGGCCCCAGGGAAGCGGCAGCCAGATGGCTCTGTTCTCGACCTGGGCCAAGGGCTGTAACTGCAGGCACTGGGTTGTCACATTGCTTTAGTGTGTGACTCTTTAAGAGCACAGAGAAGAAAAGAAAGATTTGGGGCCTTAGAAGTTATTAAAAGCTATCCTTGATTCCTCAAATGGAGGCTTGCACACCAGACAAAGGAGAGTCTGTGCTTTTAAGTTTTTTAAATGTATTTTTTTGTGTGTGGGTGTTTTGCCTGCATGCATGTCTGTGCACAAGTATGTCCAGTACGAGAGTGTTGAGTATCTGGGACTGGAGTTACAGTTTTTATGGGCATGGCTATGTCTGTGCTGACCATTAGACTTGAGTCCACTGGACGAGCAACCAGTGTTCTTAACTGCTGAGCCATCTATCTACTCCAGGAGGCTGTATTTTTAAAGCAAGAGAATAGGAACATATATCAAAAAATATCCAGCTCAGGAGTTGTAAATGTTTTTCAGGGAGGAATATAAATAGACAGATGCAGCCCATCTGGTCCCTCATCCCGCCACCGTCAGCAAACGCACCATGACCTGAGCTCCTCCTTGTCCTTGAGACATCTTTGCTGCGTGTATGTAGCTGTCCTCCCTCATCAAATAAGCTTCTTTTGATAGCAAATGGGGACCATCACTGGAAACCACAACTGGGCCCAATGCAGAGGTCGGCAGACTGAGAGCCCAGCCCCAGGGGATACATCCTTACCACAGCTCCTTTATTCATGGCGCAGACAGCATTGTGGAAGAGGGGGCAGAAAGATTGTAAGAGCCAGAATTCCAGGAATCCTGATGTGAAACCCGTTTATCCCAGAAATGGCCACATAAATAAGACCAGGACAAAAGCATTATCAATAGATGTGCTGAAATGGAAGGCAGGAAAACCTCGTGGGTCCCAGACCGAGAACGACAAGTAACTAATCACTGATGGTGGAAGAATTGGGCCCTCTCAGGGATGGGCCTTCTTGTGCAGTGTCCGGTGCACAGACAACACAAACAGACTCCGCGGGGTGTGTGTGTGTGTGTGTGTGTGTGTGTGTGTGTGTGTGTGTGTGTGTGAGAGAGAGAGAGAGAGAGAGAGGGAGAGAGAGTCTGCCTGCATGTAAAATACACAGCTGTGGTAATAATAAAGAAAAGAAGCTGTCAGTTTGGCCATATGGGGGGAATGTTAGTAAGGAGGGATCTTGGAAGGTGCTGGACGGAGGAAAGGAGTGGAGGAAGTGATTTACTTTAATTTAAAATGTATAAAATTTAAAAATAGAAATTGCCTTGTGATAATTTAAAAGGCTAAATTGAATCATGCAGATACAGAAATGAACCAGGCCATCCATCAGAAGTCCCCGCCCACAGCCTTATGGAACTCAGATCAATCAAAACTCTGCACTAGTTCCTCATGACTTTTATGAAATCTAGAATTAGAAGGTATGGCTTTCTAGATTATTAGGACTCATGTCTGGATCTGCTTGTAACTAGGTTCATAATGAAACTTTTGAGAAATGAAGGAAATACGTTAGAATCCAGACAGTGTGTCCAGCCTGTGGCCCATAGACCCCACTGCCCCAGGATAACTAGGAATCGGAGCTAAATACAAAATTGTAAATTTACTTAAGGAGTTGAATGGTGAGGAGTTAAGGAGTGAGCTCTGTGTTATAAGGTGTTGTAATGTCAAAAGGTAGGATGCTCTGGAGGGAAAGCCAAGCCAGTGTGCCAGTGACGAGGAACCTACGTGGGGTCATGGGAAAACCAAGCCAGTGTGCCAGTGACCAAGAACCAACATGGAGTCAGTCATGGGAATACTAAGCCAGTGTGCCAGTGACCAGGAACCGACGTGGGGGCGTGGGAAAACCAAGCCAGTGTACCAGTGACCAGGAACTGATGTAGGGTCACATGCTCAAGGGTGTTTAAAACTGAAATTTCCAGCCTAGAACTTCAAATCACCAGCTATATGATGAGGTAGAATAAAAACATTTTCAGACAAAGAAATTACCCAGGCAAAAACCTCCCAGAGGAAATCGTCAACCAAAGGAAGGATCAGCCAACAACAAGCAGTTTATAGGTCTAGAATCTAGAGGTTCTGATGAAGAAAGAGGGAGAGGATCTCAGAAATATGGCTGAGGGAGAGCCCAGGGGATGGAAGATCCGCAAGTGCCGAGAAGGCCACAGGCAAAGGATCTGGGAGCAGTGTGGCTACAGCAGCTGCCTCATCCCGAGCCTGCCATAGGAGCCTCCGTGCCTTCACCCTTGGTTCTGAAAGTACATCTGACTTTCCTAAAACAATTTCTAAGCTCCTTCCTATCTAGAGGATGGGGATCATAAAGACAGAGTGGCCCCGTCTTTGAGGTCACTGTAGCTGTAGCTGATCACAGACAGAGAAAGTGCTGATCCAAGAGCCTGCAGAGCTGACCCAGCCCCGTTCGCTAGCGTGGAGGACCATGGCCGGAACTAGGTGCTGGCAAATATGTCTCTGTAACAAGCCAGAGTGTAAATCTTTTAGGGTTTCAGCAAAATGTTGCAGAAGTTCTAATATAATGAATGATGCTTACAACTCAATTGGTGAAAATCAATATCGTAAAAGAAAGTAATTTTTTCAGGCTTGATTCTCTAATACAAAGAATAAGATTTTCTTCTGAGGTAGCATTTTGCTTACTTGTAATTGAGGGTTCATTGTCCCCATCATCTGAGTTCCAGTGCCCACTTCCTGCCTGTGTCACTAAGCTTCCGAGTTGAGAGAGTGTATTGGTTTCCTGGTGGCATTTCTAGAACCTCCTGTATTCTCTTGATTTCCTTTTCCTTTCATTGCAGTACAGATTAATCACTTCAAAGTCAACATGGCCTGAATGGCTGTTGCACAATACTTGGGTTTTGAAACGCAAAATTTTCCTTTTGCTGCGTTAGTGTCTAGACTCTAGAAAACCCTTCCGAACCATGTTTGAGCTTTAAGTTTGTGTGGCAATGGAGAGTGTGGACACACGGGGAAGCACACTGTACCTGTGACTCCTCCGGTCTGCACACTGCTGACTGTAGCTGGGCAGGTGAGAGGTTTTAGATGGTGACAGTTTTACTTTTGTGATAGGGAAAGTGAACTGGCAGTGTGTGTACCCTACAGGCGCTCTCTGCCCATGCCTACAGCTCTTTTTCTTATTTAAGACAAGCTTTCACCGTATGTCTCAGACGGGCCTTCAGTTTGCTTTGTAGCCCAGGCTGGCCTTGTACTTGCTTCTCCTGCCTGAGACACCCAAGTATCTGTGACTTTCATTTTTAGTAGATGCATAACAATGCCACATACAGTTATAGTAGGCTTTAATGTCTCAGCACGTGTATATATTGTGTGAAATCTAGGTTCTTAGCATATTCCTCACATTTTTATATTTGTCATTTTTATATTAAAAGATCCAATATTTTGTTTGTAGTCATACCCCCCCCCCTTGTGCCACAGAACACCAGAACTCTCTCCTCCTCGGAAACAGCTTTGGATGCATTGACCAGTGTCTTTCCATACCCACTGTGTGTGTGCGTGTGTGTGTACATGTGCAAGATGTAACTGATCCCAGAAATTGTGAAAAGAAAAGAAAAAGCAGCTCACTCATTTGGAGCTGAAGTCCAGGAAAGGGTGCAGTCATTCATTTCCAGGCCTCCCCGACTGTGTTGCTCCAGGTCTGTGGCAGAACAGCAGGAATTACCTCAGAGCACACGGTGAGACAGGAAGTGAGGAGTGCAGAGACTCAGCCTCCCCTGCGTCAGCACTGCGAGTTCCAAAGCTTGCACACATTGCACACACAGCTTCTGTTAGCACTAATGTACCACACCACACTACCTACCATGCTGAGACGTGTGTGTCCCATGTACTAAGAGAGTGAACATCTAACTTCAGGCAAGTCCATTCATGCATTACGTACTTGGCTAAATGTGGTCACAGACTGGCTCTTGTTCACAGTAAAGGGAATGAGAATTCACCCACACTTTGCTTTTCTCTGCATAATTGAGAGTGCGTTTGAAGATGTTGTGGGGAAGATCGGGCAGATGCTGACTGGGGAGAGGCTGGGGTGACTGTGGGGAACTGACATGTTCGCCAGCCCACACGGCAGGAATGGAAGCCAGTGCACTGGGATACTTGGGTGCTCTGAGCCAGGTCTGCCTGGCTTCTCCTCTCCACTCATGCAGGAACTATCAGACAGATGTGAGCATAACCAGCATCCAGTGCCCAGCAAGCACCTCTCTCAGGCACAACCATTGGCCCTGGAGTCTTGCAGTATGTCACTACACGGTTGCTTCTGTTTCTCTCTGCTCATGTCCTGTTAGTGTGGGTAAATTACAGCTCGCTAAGAGGAGATAGGAGGTTCTAGGATCTGGAGCTGTGTTTCACACATCCTGCTGGGTAATTAGTAGATACTTTGACAAATGAACACATGAGCGGAGGGCGGCCGACCACAGACAAGAACTCTGTCTGGTATCTATGCCTCCTCTAATCACTGGCTTTCCATGCCTTTCTGCAGCCATATGTAACTTTTAAAATAATGCTTAATTATATTTCATATGTGTAGGAATAAAAATTGAATTGCGCAATTGCATGATAAATGGTTTATTAATTAAGAACTTATAAAAATAAGTCATTATACACTGTATAAAGGAATATAAATCATAATATAATGAATGTAAGAACTTAAGAAAATGTTCAGAGCATGTTTCAGCTGAAAACTTCCAGAGATAGGAAAATATCACAAACAGTGTAATCTTACCTCTTGATGTCCAGCTCCTTCCTACTCTGCCCTTACTCTCTGTGTAGATTTGCATGCTTACACATTTGTGTGTACACATTTGTGTGTTTATACATTTGCATGTTTACACACTTGCGTGCTTAGTTTTACATGCGTGTGTTTACACATTTGCGTGTTTGCACACTTGCATGTTTACACACTTGTATGTATAGTTTTACATGCGTGTGTTTGCATATTTGCACGTTTACACATTTGCGTGTTTACAGTTTTACACGCGTATGTTTACACATTTGCGTGTTTACCCATTTGCATGTCTATCACTGTGTGCTCATGCTTTCCTACGTGCTACAAAATTTCTACTGGAAATAGACTTTTAATAGTGAATCATTGTTTTATATTTTCTGGGCCGTATATACATGTCTAAAGTGGTTGAGGAAAACATAAGAGAAAATACTTGTAGACTCTTACAGTCGGAAGAGCCCTCAAGAGTCAAAAGTGAGGAGAGAGTCCTCATTGCTGGTGTTACCCCATGGGAAAGGCCCAGCCAGTTCTGTGGATAAAGGGGAGTTAAGTAGTTGTGGTTTATAGCATTCATTTCAGTCGGGTGCTATTATTTATTTTTAATCAAAATAGAAGGATAAAGTTCTATTTTTGCAGAACTTATTGTTGCTTCCTGAGAAGTCTTTCTTCCTTGGAGTATTACCTGCCCACCCACTTTCTGTTTATCTGCTGTTCTGAAATCCCTCAGGTTTCTGATACCCCATTCAGTAAGGCAGTGAGTTCCTCTTTCCTCTCTCGAGTTCTCATTCCAAATAGCAGCTAACAGGGTGGAGTTTTACCTGGTGTTCGGCTCTCAGCATCTTGACCTGACATGAAGCCAAGGTGTCTATAAACCTTAGCTATAAGACCTCATTTGACGATGGTTGTGACAAAATTCACTGTGAGTGAGGCCACTGGAGATGCTCTTGGAAGAGCAGGCATTGAGTCTGTGTGGATACGGAGGACAGGAAGGCAGTCTGATGGAAACAGGTGACCAGTTGTTGGGGAGTCAGGTGGCATCTGCTAGGCTCATCACCTCCTTCAGTGAGTGATTAGTTCCCTTCTTTCCTCCTGTAGCCCCTGACGTTACAAAGCTTGGCCTGGAACAGAGTGATGCCCCCGAAAGCCCCTCAGTTACATCAATGGCACAAGTGTGCCTTTGTGTGCGCCATGCTGACCACGCTTTCCAACCCAAACAGGAGGCTGTCAAAGCAGCCATAATAGAGGAACAGAAGAGAGGCGAAAAGGCCATGGCGGAGGCGGTGAAGAGAACGAGAGAGGAGCTGGTGGAGTACCTGAGAGAGCAGAGGAGGGTAAGTCCCCGTTCCCCGTGCAGACCCACCCAACAGTATTGCTAATCACCCATCACACACAGGCAGAACAGCACCCGTGCGGGTCCCCCCAACAGCTGTCTCTGCACAGCCATCAGACCAGGACAGAGTAGCTGTGAGCTTCTGTCTAGGTCCCGTAACGATAGACTCAGGAAGGCAGTTCTAGACTTCGGGGGGGGGGGGGGTTGCCGTGTGATTGTCGATTCCTTTACTTCCTGTAGACACTTGAATGTGCTCTTCAGGCTCTCTTTGTTAGCCTAACTGTCATTCTAACAGATTTCATTACAGTCCGCAAATAAATACCACATTGCTCTGGTTCTGTCTGAGAGCAGGTCAGAACATGCTGGTCAGAATTCAGGGACGGAGCTGCAGGGACTGAAAGCAGAACAAGATTCACTCACTGTCTTCCCACAAACAGGCAGTGTATGAAGAACAGGCGACACTAAAGCTTTTTGTATGTTTTATTTACATGCCTATCATATGTGTGTAAAGTACAATAATTCTCGTGTACTGCATTCAGGTGCATACTATAAAGTGTCAGGTGTTCTACACCATAGCAAGCAGACAAGCGGAACCATGAATATGAAGCGTGTAGTGTCTAAACTTGATTGTTGGCTGGATGGCAGAGTGGAAAACGCCAGCTGCTGTCCTGTAGTTTGCAGGGAGGGTCGGGACACCACTCAGTCCCCTGCTCCCAACCTGAATGGCGTGAAGAAAATTCCCAGTCTCTGTGATTCCTGTCAGCAGAGTACAGAATCGGTCAGGGATGTTTCCAGAGAAGTCGCATCCACAGGAGCACTCTATGTGTGTCTATATCTTTGAGCACCTTGCTTTAGGGGGATCTTTATTTTCACCCTGATTTCTGATAGATTTTTCACATTCTGAACCCAAAAGTGAAGTTGGCGTTTTAATTGTGTGCCGGTGTTTCCCACAGAGGGTATTTCAGATAATCTAGTTTATGAGCTGTGCCCAGAGGAATGACGGATACACACGGATTATTTGGAATAGTGAAGAAACACAGATAAAATAAACTTAGGGGTTCTTATGGACCACTCCTTTCCATTGTCTTTTCCTCTTAATCTTTCCCTTGGTGGTTACAACTGCTCTTAGCATGAAATCTGCCCCCTCGGTCGTATGGCACCCCTGAGGTGTCCTCATGAAATCTGCCCCCTCGGTCATGTGGCACTCCTGAGGTGTCCTCATGAAATCTGACCCCCTCGGTCGTGTGGTGTCCTCACTGACTATAGGTGCCGTGTTGTAGAGTGGCCCAGGGGAGGTTATTCATCATTCTGACCGAAAGTGCTGTTAGCTCATTAGTGGCCGCCCCTTTCCCCTCCCCTCACCCAGCTCTGTGAATTGGACCGACCACTCTGAGCCCGACTGTGAGCCACTCAGCAAACAGGATGCTCTTTTCTTCCTTCCCTCAAGGCTCCTGGGTGGGTCACACGGCACACACGCTCCCTCTGCAAGGCTGAGTGGGATGTTGTATGTGTGAGTTTTCTTACTTCATCCATTGATAGGTGTTCAGATTGTTCCTCCATATTCAATATACTTTCCTGAATCAGCCAATCTATATATGAGATGTAAATCTGCAGAGACAATTTTATAAAATCATTTGGGCGTATATATATATTCAAAGCTGTGTTACTTTCTGTAGTATGTGGTTACCATAAAAGCATCTTGTAGGAGTAAGGATGGCTCTTTTAGGGTCCTCTGATCCCTGGATGTCAAACTAATGTCTCAAAAGAACTAAATTATGGGCTAGGCCATTTGGCCTGTATTCCTCCGAATCCTTTTAAAGGCCTGTCAGTTCCTGTTTGTGAGAAGTAGTCTGATTGACAGCAGAGACAGTGAGAACACAACAGAGCCAGGCCCCGTTCACACTGTCCGGTTCTTATTACACGGAGCACCCACGTTGTCATGAGTTAGGGATAGGATGCAGCTGGAGCAAGGGCACACACCTGTACCGCATCAGTTCTGAGCACTGTGTTCAGCACCTTAGTAAAAATACCCAGAAGCCACTTGTCGGTAGGCGGGTTTTGCTCATTTTGGAATGTGTGCTCCGATCAGTGTTGGCTCCTGTTTACATGGTGAGCTCTAAAACCTGACCCCACTCCTTTTACTGATTCCCAGGAGGTTACAGCCCTGTTCTCGTAGAAAGTTACCACTTGTCGCTTGCAGGTGTGTTAGGGACACTGGGGGACACTTTTGAGTATCTGGGCATTTTGTCTTCCCAAAGAGAAAAGGCTAACTTTGATAAGTTCGTGAAAGCACCCAAAGTGAAACAGCAATTGCTAACACCTCTTTTTATGTCACTTTTGAAAATTTTAGATTTTTAATTCTGTATTTCCTTCTTCCTTTAAAATACTATACTCACTGTTTCAAGTTAATTTTGATGTATTATCTTGGGACTTAGAAAATGTTTTTGGGGGAAATAAAGGACACCCAAAGCTTGCAAACCAACTTAGAGGAAACATTTTTCATTTTGCTTTGTTTTAGCTAGTTCCTTTTATTTTTGTCTCAATAAAATAAAATAAAAAACCTAAATTGGGGCAAGTCCTCTCCACTTCTTCCATTGGAAGATAGTTTTTGTTTTGTTTTAAAGAACACATTTTCAGGATAAATGTTTCCTTTCCTTTCTATAGCTCTATTTTTTAAGAAATCATGGATCAAGCTTAAGATTTTCAGGTCAGACACTCAGCAGCCTTGTATTCCAGTCTGTAGGGTAGCCTTGAAGTTTTGAGATGTCTCCCGTGGAGCTAGGCCTTACTCTGTGTGTTCCTCAGCATCATCAGATCCTTTCCCAAAGCCCTGAAAGTTGGAAATGAACACTTCTCCACCCCACATTTCCTCCTCTGCTTTTACTTTTAAAGGACTGAGAAAAAACAAAATAGAAGATTCAAAATGGTAAATTTCTCAAATGACTTAATTTTTCCCCATGATATAAAATTCAGGTCATCATAAGAGGAAATAGCTTTTTCTAAGTCTCTAAATCACCCTCCAAGACTGGTGAATGTTAAAAGTATACCCAGGATACTGGAATTGATATTGAACTCACACTGTGAAAAGTCTTCGTGGCATGTTTTTTGTCTTGTTTCTGCAAATGCTGTCAGCAGAGGTGTTGTTAAACTTCGTGTACGGCTGTCATTCGTCTGGCCCCCATTCGTCTGGCCCCGACTCTAGGATGGGAGAGTTACTTTATATGCACTAGTTAGTTAGGAAGTCCCAGCGCTCAGCCTCCTGCAGGAGAGCTATTTATGCACTAGTTAGTTAGGAAGTCCCAGCGCTCAGACTCCTGCGGGAGAACTACTTATGCATTAGTTAGTTAGGAAGTCCCAGTACGTGCTCAGCACCGCTCACATGATCCTGCGTCGCTGGCCCACAGCACAAGAAAACTGTATAATCAAAACATCCTACTAGTAAAAATGTTCATGATTAATCAGAAAAATAATAATGAAACAGTTTGGGTGTTTAAAGTAATTATAAATAAATATTCAACCCACTGGGCGGTGGTGGCGCACGCCTTTAATCCCAGCACTCAGGAGGCAGAGGCAGGCAGAACTCTGTGAGTTTGAGGCCAGCCTGGTCTACAAGAGCTAGTTCCGGGACAGGCACCAAAAATACAGAGAAACCCTATCTCAAAAAAACAATAAATAAATAAATAAACAAACAAATATTCAACCCGATCATATTTTTAAAAATTCCTTTTCTAGGCGCACTGAACCTTGCTTCATGCTGCAACAGCTGAGCTGAACACCTGCCATATGTTACTGAAGCAGCGCTGACAATCAGGTGTCAGAGGGCCCCCAGTCGGTCCTTTAACACTCCTGACCTCTCACCATGGAACTAGGCAGTTGGCTTTCCCTTAGTCTTCTGGAGAAGTCTCTCCCTTGTCTTATAAACGGCCAGACCAACCATTAGAGCCAGCATCAGTAGTGCCACAGGCTGCAGAGAAATGAGACGGGAAAGACCACATCCCAGATACTTCTTGGGGCCGGGAGAATTTGTGGTTTGTGACGACCAATAGCCCTTGGGCTGGAATGGATAGTTGCAGCCCATCCCATAGGTTCAGACTGTTACACATGAGCTCGCCGTGAAGGAGGAAGCGTGAATAACATCCAGCACGCAGCGGCTCTTCACAGCCAGGCGGTGATTCCTAAAAATAAAACCTCATCCAAATGTAATAAAAGATTATTATTTTTTCCTCTTAAGAACCAGAATTACGGCCTGTGTTTTCAAAATCATCTCCAGGAAAATAACCTTCACTTGGGAGGATTCTTTTAATTTAGATTTTTAGAAGGGAGCAAAGAACAATTATCTTTACTTCAAAGGTCTGAGGCTAAGACATTGTCAGAATTTCTTAATCATAACCGGGCTCTTGAAGGCCAGCAATGCTGCAGTCCCCTGCGGTTTCACTTGCATCTTCAGCTGCTAAAGGCAACACTAAGCCAACACGTTTCTTCCAATAGTGACAGTTACTGGAACTACAGACAGCTCTAGAAGAACTTACGTTTCTTCCAATAGTGACAGTTACTGGAACTACAGAAAGCTCTAGAAGAACTTAGGTTTCTTCCAATAGTGACAGTTACTGGAACTACAGAAAGCTCTAGAAGAACTTACGTTTCTTCCGATAGTGACAGTTACTGGAACTATAGACAGCTCTAGAGAGCTTGTCCCATCTCCGTTGCCTTGTTTCCTGTCTAGTATGGTTGTGTGTTGCGGCCCTCCCTTTCCTTCACAGTTGTGACATTCCACCAGGAGTGCAAATGGCTTCTTCCTTGACCACTACCAAGTATGTTGAGGGCTTTTCAGTTCCTGGTGTGCACTGGTTATGTCCCAAGAGTTGCAGCCCTTGACCTCTCTTGCACACACCTGCAGAAGCAGTGCCGTTTCTCTGCCGCCCACCCCTGCTCCCTCATCCTGATGAGTTATTTCTTCTATGTGACCTGGTCCAGCTGATGTCAGTAAGGGATAAACTGAGG